CGAGTATCGTCGTCGTAGTATAGTTGTCGTCGTGGGAAAAAAATTCGGGAAAAAATTGGATACTCTCGTAAGTCGAGCGCACGACCTTTCTTTTCACGAGTTATATTTTTCTTGAAAGCAAATTGTGTGATTTCAGTTGGGAGGCATGTTATATGCATCGTCGTGTAATATACCGTTTGAACCGCCCACGCGAAACGACGTTGCCGCGGTTGCTGCTGTGATATGATTTCAGGGTACGAAGCAACGCCGAATTGCTGTATAGGATTCGCGTGTAAAGCATGATGGTATACACCACACGAAATCGACGAATCGCATTCATAAATCGAGAAAAGCGATCTCTAGAATTGGCAAATGTTAAAACTGCAAAGTTCGTATGCAAGGACTCGTACGAGGAAGTGATTAAAAGAGCACAGACACGCGTGTATTATAATGGACGCGTTGAAAAGTATCGAGTCTTCCAGATGCGTCCGCCACTGACGCCGTAGGGTGATTTAAATTTCAAAGTATATACTATGTGCGTTGTACGCAGATGCAGCCCCTATATTATAATACGAAGTATCATTGTGACATTGGGCGAGGCGCGTGTATATAATATGTGCATGGCTCGATTTTCGCTTCTGTTTCGAGGAGAGTTCACAGGTGGGCCACGAGTTCGGTGATTCAAATTCAAAAGCTCTCGTACGCGCACGCGTATACGCTTATACCAATACACTCGCACCCACTTGAGCTTGATAGAGATTTATTTATATTTATATAATACGCGGCTATAGCCACCTCAAAGTGTTACTCGTTAATCGATCGTTTTTGGAGCACTCGCGATTAGCATCGTAAAGATGAAAAAACGCGCGAATAAAGCATCTCTCGATAGTTCGTATATTTTCATCTTCGCCTATGATTCAGAAACATACAATAATAAACGTGATATAATTCCCCCCATGAGCGATAAATAATTACGACGAGTATTAGACCTATTATATATATCCCTTTAAGCCCATGCAGACTAAACTTCTATATCTTTCCGTTCTTCATCTTCTTTTTCATCATTTTTTTTCGTTTTTTTTTTATTTTGCTGTTAATGCTTCGCATTGCTATTCGCAAGCTGCTTCTCTAGGAGCTCGAAAATAGAAGTCGTCGTCGCAGCAGCCGCACACCGGCGTAGAGAGACGAGAGAGTATAGCAGTGGAAGTCGTTGGATGGTCGTTGACCCAGAGTCGCGACACAAACCCTAACATAATGTAAGAGCAAGACAACACGATGGTTAGTTATGATCGTTATATTGCCTGTGCGCGGCGGCAACTTGTGTGTTTGTGTTTTCACTTAAAAGTGGATTTTTTCAGCTGGGTGAAATCGTAGTATATAGGTGTCTAGTAGCACGTGAGCACACACATGCTCTTTTTTAGCTTCGAAGGGGTCGATTGCTGTATAATGCTGCAAACATCAAGTACTCGACTTGTCATAGATGGATAAATAACGTGCAATTAAAATTAGTCGATTTGGCCAAAAAATTTTTTTTTTATTGTCCCTCTTTCCTTCTTTCGTTCCCTCTCTAATATCTCGGAAGTACGAGTATGCGTGCGAAGCCGTGAGCATCTGCGCAAGTTACGACCGAGAGAGGAAATAAGCTAAAGATTCGTCTCGCGAGGAGTAAAAAAAAAGCGAGTCACAGAGAGAGAGAGAGAGGAAGGGTTCAGTGCCGCTGCAGACTCGAAGAGAATTAAGAGAGAAGGAGAGAGTCAAAGGGCGCGTGTGTTTGTAAACTGTGGCACGCGACCAGCCACGCGCTACTGCCGCTGCTACACTGCTCCTTCTTTTTTTTTTTATGATCGTCTCTCGATTTCTTTTACGGCCGCGTAAAAAAGCCTTTTATAGTAGTAGCAACGCAAGCTGCAACGGGCTCCCCTTTCTCTCAGGTGCGGAAGCTATCGGATTTTTCGACATGTGTATACAATTATTATTACATTACATTAATAGCTGCATGCGACTCTCTTTTCATCATTTTTCCTATATTGCGCATCGATCGGCTAATTTTTCAATAATATGCTTTGAGTTTGCACAGACTCGTTGGGTATTTTGAAGCGCAAAAACGACAGGATTGTACCATTATTTGCCGAGCACTCGAGTCTCTACAATTACATTATATGTATGCACAATATAAACAGATTATATGCATATAATATGCGCGAGTGTGCGCACGATGCGGATCGCCGTCGCAGTTTTCGCTCTGCTCTCGAATTCCACTTATTCGATCTGCCGATACATATGCGATCGCCGTATACACACCTGGGCCAATACTCATCCGCGCGCGCAGCTCTCGTTGATTTTCTCTCTCACTCTTCTGTAAATATTTGAATTGTTTTGTTTAACCTCCGAGCCTTATGCGGTATTTACAACTATGTATGTAGGCGTAATAAATCCAGTTACAATCGATATAATCCAACTCTCTCTCTATTAAAGGGTAGACACGCGCCCGGCGTACGCTTTCGTTTCATCGAGTTTAAAACCTCGTACCGCACAACACTACAACGTGTTACCGTACTACGCAATATCGATTCGAGTAAACACGACCCGATGTATTACGCCGCTGTACATAAAATTATGTGCGTTTGAGCGTTTTCCTGCGCGAATTTTCACGACGCCCAGATTATGATACCTTGCGTGACGCACGTTGAATTTAAACGTGCACTAAAACTGTTATCAACAGAATCCCAAAAACTGTCGCGAATAACACGATGAAAAGGACGAGGACGAGGCAAAAGAGAGACACGACGATGAGCTCCCGCTGAGGGTGGCGGTGGTATCATACACATCGTTGTGGTACATAAGCTTATTGTACACATATAATATGAATGCATCGCTGCTTATGCCACGAGGCGTAAGCGCACGTCGAGTTCGGTCGCGCGGGGGTGGTATATTACAGTATATACCATACAGCTGCTCGCACGCTCAAATCCGTATAAGTTTGTCGCCGCGCGCTAATTTTAAAATGCTCGTGGATCCGCGCGTGGTGTATATTATAATACGCCTGCACATTCGCTTACTCCTTTTGCGCGAGCAGCTGCACACCGAGTATATGTACACACTTCTTTTTTATGTATAGAGATTATATATGCGCGTGTACGTAGGTGAAAAATTGTATCGTACGTAGCAAGCGAAGCACAGCCACTGCGAGTACATAGCTTATTTTCGGGCTTTTATTTTTTTGCAGGCAGTATGTATTATAATACAACGCACGGCCTTTTTGAGAGTTTGAAAGAGATGCGGTCTTTTCATGAAGGATAGCTATTGCTGCTCGTACGCATAATTGTGTACTGCACACTGACAGTTGAAACAAATTGTTTCTACGTTAATTTTTCTTTAATCATTTTTCGTCTGATCCGGTTGGAAAAGTAATTATTAACTTTAAAAAAATGGTCTATGAAAGCACTTGAGCGCTCAAATATGAGAGGAACTTCTGTTTGCCGCCAGTCGATAACGTATGCGCTTATTTATCTTTGAAAAAGTTTCGAAATTATTCAAAGTAATGTGTGTATTAATATTTTTCAGTTTTCAGTTTTTTTTTGCAAGACCCTTTTGCTTTTTTAGCACGGAAGGCGACAAGTGCCCTTTTCATCTCTAAAGGCTTGTGATAATCATTTTTCTGATTGGTATACAGATGAATAAATGAAAACTACCACTTTTCTACGCATATAAACATACAGTTCTCGATTCTACCGAGCTTTTATCCTAGCTTGCAATTCGCCGCCACCACCACTTGGCGCGACTCGCCACGAGCTTTACCGTGTAATAAGCTTCGCAATTATCGCAGAGGACGGAAATATAATTCACGAGATTTTCGCTCGGAATATTATTACGGAGTTTCGTACGCGGGCCCCGACGTAATTACGAGAAAGACGACCTGCGCTCGCACACTCAACTCGGTGGTATATAATGCATACACAGAACCGAGAGCCATCATCTCAGCCACCGTGGTGCGTTACACAGACTGCGTGCAAGTATATAAATACGCGCTCGAGCCGCACGGAGAAGAAGAGCACTGCGGCGAGCAGCTCGGTGGTGGCTATATAATGCGAATGGATTCTTTTCCCGTTTTAGACTCGCTGTGCATTATGTCTTCGCGTATACGGCATCGTTTTGGAGCGAGAGAGAACGAAAAAGCAAGCGGGCATTATAACATATATATAAAACAACGGAAACGAGTAAGCTCCTGAGTGTTTTTTTTTCGCTTCGCGAGTTCCGGACTTCTTTCGCTTGAATCTTAAGAACGAGAAATCGATGGATGACGCGCGGCTTTTAAACCATATAGAGAGAGGTGTAATGCACTCGAAACTTCAAGTGCGATGATTCTTCATCGACGATTACGCCGAACTTCGATGTTATTTTTAAAAGAGAGAAAAATTACTTCGATTTATACCCCCCTGAGAAAGCACAGTTCGATACGCGCGCACGTGGTTATTGAAGCACAAGTGGGAGCATGCGGCAACTTGTTGCTCCTACTGTGTGCACGATTTTTCTCTCTCTCTCTCATTTCCAATTTGATATAATTTGAACTCTCACGATGACCTTCCGACGGAATAAGGCCTCGAATCGATCCGCCCCCGTGCCTTGGCCAGATGCTCGCATAGAGTATAGCTTTGCCTGCCTGCGTGGGGTGATCCACTCCGACATTTAAATACCAACGCGGGGACCTCCGCTGAAATATCGTGTATTTATGCTGTATACAAGAAAAAACATGTATATAGTTAGACTCTCGAGGCAATTCGATCCGGTGGGCTCTGCTCTATTTGCTGCTGCTGCTTGGGTGTGTACGTGTGTGTGTGTATACATAAAAGAACGAGGTGGTCGCACGCGCTCTGGGGTACTTGTTGATTTTTCTTCTCAATATAGTCTTTGCGACCATGGTTTTATGTATTATTTTTTAAAATTTTACAATCAAGTATAAAATTAAATTTTGTAGATAAAATTTTATTCTTTATTAAAATTTATTCAATTTTATACTATATTACTATTTTTAATAAAAATTCTTATGTACAAACTTACAAATAACAAATGGGTTTGGCAGCAAATAAAAAACAATCAATGCTCTTACGAACTAACTTCCTTAAATACTGCTCCAATCACATTGTCCTTTTGATGAATGAGGATTTGCCTGAAATAGAAGAAATGTTTAGTTTGACTCAGTAATAAATATTGCTCTGTTGCATTGAATTTAATTAAAACAATGATGATTATCAAATTATTGTAACATTGGATACTTGCATTGGTTTAGAATGTATATTTTACCTTGTATCGTTTTGAAGAGAAATGACAGGTGGCTTTGAATTTGGCTCAATCTTTCTGGACATTTCAGCGATAGCTGCTATAACACCTGAACTAGTTCTTGATGCTATTCCACTAGCTACATTTGAAAAAAATACCATATTTTATTAGTTTGAATTGTATGAATAGAATAATTAGCTAAGCGTAATTCATATTTTTTATCAAATTTGACTTGCTACAGTTTCAAAAATTTAAATTACCTGCTAGACAAAGTCCAGATTTGTCTGTTAATAGGCATCCTATTACATCTTTGCTTCGATTCCTGTAAATATACAATGCAACATATATTATTTGTTATCAAAGTGTCAATACATAACCTTAAACATGCGTACTTACAGTTCTTTTATTTGTCTTTCAAAGCCTTTCTCCATTTTCTTTGTTTTACTGTCTTGTATATAATTTTATCGAAATTTACTTGAAAACAATTCCACAACTTCGATTTTTTTTAATCATAGAAGAAAGATCAGAGAGATATTTGAATGATTCAAAGCTATGTCAATAAATATGACACTTTTCTGCTCTCATGCATGTATACATACAAAGGTGTGTTTTTGTATACAGTCCATGATGAGACGGCAGCACTATACTACATTACAGAAAATTTTCAATTTTTAATTTGTTGTTACTTTTTATAGCTCAGTATTTAGAGTTACCAAAATAAATTATTTCTACATGAATATCTTATTGTATATATAAAATGTATATATCTTTGAAATGAATTCTTAAATCATTTTTAGCAACTTCATGAATAATTGAATTACAAATATTTTTTATTTCTGTTTATATGATATAATATAATACCTCAAATAACGACAATAAACAAATTCTGTTTTTGAACAAAGCAATCAAAACAATAATTTTTTCTTTGATTAAATTTAATCACTTCTCTCTACTTAATGGGTAGAATTAAAAACCAATTATAAATATTATAAATGATAATCTTTACAATTCAATATTCAGAATTACCTAAATAAATTATTTCCTATGTAAAATATTTATAACATTACACCGAAACAATCGATTAGTGCTGAAAAGAATTCCTAAGTTATTTTTAGAAGATCTGTCAAATTATTGAAACATATCTTTTTGCTTACTTCTTATGACTCATTATGTCAATTAACAACAGAAAATGAATTCTATCTTTTCACAAAATAATAAATAATTATAATTTTATTTACCCTAATAGTTATTAAGAATAGTATTAAAATAATGATTCTTATTCTTATAAACCAAGAATGAAATCTTCAGTTCCAATAATTTTACTTTTATCCACAAACAGTTTAGTTTTACTTTCTTTTCCACTTATTCTTAATGCTACTGGATATATTTGATCACATTCTGTTTGTTGACTTTTATTTATATTTTTATTATTAGATAAACTATCACAAATATTTGATGCTATTGAATGTATTTGTTCACTCCTTTTTACTAAAGCTACTGGATATATTCCATTACATTCTTCGTACTGATTTTGATTAATAATACTATTAACGGATAAGCTATCACACAAATTCAATGCTGCTGAATGCATGTGTATAAACGTTGGTGTCTGTGAAACATCAATAATGGGTTGTTCACCAATATATTTTGTTGTATCCCTTGCCTTTTCTTTCTTCTCTGTTACATTTTGATTTGAAATAACTTTGTATAATAAATTGGATCGTTCAGATCCATCCTTTGAAATGATTCTATTTTTTAAATCCAATTTAATTTTTTCGTACATATTCTGGTCAATATATAGTAATTTAAGACTTTGTTCTTCATTTATATTTTGAGAAGCAGACGAGGCTGTTTGATGAATTTTCAACTGTTGTTGAATTTGTTGACCTAGATTTGAGCCAAAATCAGATACACTTGAAGGAAGAAGCTGTACAACTTGAAGGTTTTGCCTATTATTGGCAATTGTCTGTGTTATATTTTTTAGAATACTATTGTTCTGAATCGAATTGTTATTTGCAAAAGTTTTAAGCTTTGAAGTAATAGTACTTTTCTCTAAACTGCGACTATACGGGTGATCACGAGCCATGGCGCGCAAAATTTACCAAAACAGTAACCTGGAAAAATTCGAATTATTTATTTATATTTCCTAAACATCACAATCACTTTATTTACCGTTTACCCAGATCGATTATATTCAATAAATTTTTATTTAATACACTTTATGTAGTTGCACAGAAGGAATTTATCCTCGTTTTAAAAAACTGTTGTTAAACTATACAAGCAAAAATCACTCGGACACTTTGACTCGCCGATTCAAACTCCATGCACGCATTGGCTGTCACTGCTCCAGTCGAAACTCAGAAGGATCATTCGTGGAATTGCGATTCGCACGCGGCTGGGTATGTTGGCATGGAGAGATAATCGTTTGTTTTGAAAACGAAATCGCCGTTGTTGATTCCGTTCCATTATAATAGAAAAATTGATTCGAACGAAGCACGCATTCTTATTATCAAATGGAATAAGGGTAAAAACGCTTGTTAAATTTTTAAAAAAGGTAATTTTTATTAAATTTGTTATCAATATGATTCATTAGTTTAGATGATAAAATTGCATTTATACACATTAAAATCACTTCAACATGAATAAAAAAGAACATAATCACTATATAGGTATATCCCCAAAAATTCAAACGACTATGATCTAAAAAATTGTTCTTATTAGCAGTCTACTTTTGCGAGATTATTTTGTTCATTTTGAATCTTGAGAGATTTTGAGTAATGCTCCAAGCTCGTTACGGCGGACATGACTCGAAGCACGCTATCCGTCAGTCTGGCGAAAGTTTCGTTAGCGTCATCATCGTTCCTCGTTATTACAAAAATATCTAGAATATTTCATAAATTTTAATATTAAATTTTTCGCAATTTTCTATCGATAAAATTAATTACTCACCAGCTCTATCCTGGCCTAAATATTTGCAAAACATGTTAACTGCCGTGGTAACGTCGTCATCGTCATGATATGAATCGATCGACCATTGTGGCCTTTGCTCCCGAATTTTTTCAAGAGCCAATGACCATTTGGCGGCTTTTAAGTATTCTGCTATTTTTACTAATTCGTCATGGGAGCCAGACTACCCATAAAAAAATACATTAATTATTTATAAAAAAAATTCATTTTCAAATATTCAACTTCAACATCTTTATGAACTCACTTCTGGTGCAGGACTTGAACTGCGCTCCGGCGAGCCTCTATCACTTTCCACATCGTCAATTTCTAAAGATCTCGCGAGCGATTGTCTCATACTGGCAATTTCTGCCGACATATCGAGCAATGCAAAAGTTGGATTTTTGGCCGCGCTGCTCAGAGCCACGTGCATCTTGTTCGAGGCCTCGTGAAGCATCAAAAGCTGGAAGTGCAGCTTGTACAAAGCACGACCAAGATCCAATTTAAATTCTTCGAGCGTGCTATCATCAACCGTATTTACGACTACTTGCTGGGAAATTGCCTCGCTCGATGCTATCTGCAAAGCATTCATTTTCACTGCGGCACGTAGGGACTCGATACACTGTAATACAAGGTCATGTACATTAAAAAATAAACCTTGGAAAAAGATAATTGTGATTTTTATCGATGAATCGTTGGAAAGACTTACTTCATTTACGGATTCTTTGCGATCGAGGAAAGAATCGAGATGTTCCTGCACCTCGAGTAAACCAAAACGTAGGGTCTCGTGCAGTCGTTTACCTTCGTTGCCTTCGAAAGCTTGGGGCGAGAACCAAACAATCGGTGCTTCAGCCCGAGAGATCAACAATTCAACGTGGCTCGACAGATGCGAAGCCAATTGAGACGATGCGGCGCTGCTGCCGCTGATGCTCGACAACAATGAAATTGATTCGCGTGTCAGACTTATACTCTTGCTCGTCACATCCCTTAGAATTTTCCCAATGAGTTGAAACGTTTCTAAAGGTTTGAACGACGGCTGAGTACTGAGATTCTGTATTTGCTGCCTCCAAATTTCTTCTACGTCATCGCGTATCTGTCTGAATGGCATCAGAGCTGACAAATTCGGCGAATTATTGCAAGGAGTCTCGTCGCCCATACTTGACCCCGATGTATCGGACCGCGTGAACGAGTCATTACGACTTCGTTCAGGCATGAGAGACAGTGAAGATGGTAGATGATAGATACCAGCAAGATTATTGGTTTCTTGCCCTTGGCCGGGACTTGGTGATTCTTCCAATGGAGATTCTGATCCAACTTCTTCGTCGGATGATTCCTCAGTGAGACCGCGCTAGATTTGTGAAATTATTAAAATTTAGAGTCGCCCAGCGTTGTAATTTATATAATTTTTTAATCAATAAATGAATAATCGTTATTACCCGCAAAGATTGTTTAGCTGAGGATACAGTCTTTTCACTGAGACTCTCTTCCAGCGTCCGAAGGCTTGATTCCCGTTCTTCACCTTCGCCAAGAGGTCTACGTCTGACACCCCAGTTGAAGTTATCTGTACTTTCACCCTATACAAAAGAAAATATTTGTTTTTATTCTGATGCCAATTATTAGTCAACTGATGATAAAAATTATCGATTAAATTGCTACCTCAACACTCTCACTTTCGTATTCCAAAAAGTCGAAGTCTTTGAATACTCCGAATTGTTCGTCATCGCGACGCGATCCTCCGCTTAAGTCGTTATTTGCTCCCGACACTTCTTCCGTCGAAGATGCCATAGATGATTGTCTTTCCATCAGATCTGAACTTTGACTAAATATTACCTGAAATTTTTTACTTATATTTAGCAAATAAATTCATTTTAAGAAAATTAGGAAAAAATAAAATCATAACGTAATTATAATTTTTTAACTCACCGACGGGCTCTTTGGTAGTCCAACCCTTTGTCCACAAGTAGTTAACAAATTAACCAAGCACTCTCTCACTCTCCCCTGCGAGAAAAATAAAAATTTTTATTGAAAAAATAAATTTCATAAGGATAGCGTTGAATAAAGTAATTCTACAAACTTGTGACATCCACGGTCTCTTCCATCCGGAAATTGGTCCATTGTCAGCGGGTGATAAAGAAATTGATCGGCGAGGCGACGTAGCATTTTTATCCTCGTTTATTTGCCGAGTTAACCAGCGTTTTCCAATAACGGGCGTTTGGGATAAATCGAACGTAAAATCCATTGTCCGACCTATCATTGATAATAGCGTTGATATTAACGTTTCCGTAATGGAAAACAAATAAATAACAATCCATCGATCGGGTTTTACATATGTTTATTACTATCTTTTATTTAATGCACAACTGATGGGGAGATGAGATAATAAAAAGAAAACAATATGAAAACCAATATGAGGTTTTCAATGATACGTAAAAAAGGTCAAAAATGTATAGACCGCTGGCCAGAACAATTTTGATACGAAAATGAAGCAGGTGTGGTAAAAAGCTTATTGTATGTAGTTAGCTGGATTTGTCTTTATTGTTATTTTTATTGCAAAAACCTTCATTTCGGAGGAGGTATAGAATTTTTCAAATGTTTTCCGAGAATGCATGCATGCAACGTCAAAATAAAAGTTTTAATTCACATGCTTGAAAAAAAATTAAATTTACGAAAGTGTGTTTACCAGGAAGTTCTTTTTTGCTGAATAACTCGTTGTCGTTGAAACTCGGATGCGGCGAGGATATCGAAAGTTCCCAGTGGGTCGCGTGAACTGTCGTCGGTGGAGCGCTAAGAGTGGATGATCTAGTCACAACGAGCTTCAATATTTTCAAAGCTTCTCTCCAATGAGGACCCTTTTTATAAGAAAGTCAATCGTCAAATTCAATCCCATTAAAAGTTATTTCGATTCATAAAATATATTACCTCGACGTGTTTCGAAACTACCCTCAGCAGCTCTACGCTCGTCGGTTGAGCGGCCTGAGTCGTGATGTCAACGTAATGCAGCATACAGTGTATTATACTCAACACAGGTACCGTCACATTGGCCGGCCCCTTTTCCAAAACTTCGACAAGGAAGGACAACATATTGAAGCTCAAATGAGCGTAAGTATCGTAGAGATATTTCACCACGCACTTGGTCCACTGGAAGCTCTCTTTGCTGAACGTTCGCCTACTATACAGGGTCATAACTGTACCAAGGTTTTCCAACTTCTTGCCCTTTTCCGCGCTTATCTGTGCTATATTTTCTGCACTTCTTATGCAGAGCTCGTTGGCGTCCTCATAATTTAGCAGCATGTACGGCAACAGAGAGACGACATTCATAGGGAAGGCTAAGCTCTGCGTCGGATCGACAACAGGCAAATCGAGTAACAGTGTGAACTGAGATAGGAGTGTCACTACTTGTTCGTAAGTATTTGGACTAGTGCACCCCTTTGACGAAAAAAAAAGAAGAAATGAATTCACATGCCCAAAATAAAATAGCTCCGTTTCTATATATAAGTTCGAATTACCTTTAGTAGCAACGCATGAACGCCCGGGAACGTATTCCACTTGAGCTGCTGCTGCAATTTTTCCACCTTATCTCTGGCATCTGGCCTGTCCAGAGGCAATCTATGCAGGACTCGATCGAGCAAACGCAAAGCCAGCAAAAATTCGTGCTCGTAATCGGACTCGAGCAGAGACACCGACAGCCAGAATAGCTGCGCCAAGATGGTCATTTTGTCGTCCTGCGTCGCCGAGTCGCCCAACAATTTCAAGGATTGAGCCGAACGCGACCTTGACAAGCTCGTGTTCGTCGTCATGACGCACCCGGATTTTTCCATCTCCTTGGCTTCGACGGCGGCCGTGGCCGCTGCGGCGGACTTTCTCGACGAGTAGCTCACCGAATAACTAGTACTACGCATGTGACCCGGCTGATTCAGCTGGGTGTACATTTGTGGCCCTTGATTAGGATAGCCCATCGGTCCGGCCGAGCTTCTCTTGGCCAGAGCCGCGTCTTTGTTGTTGAGATTCGGGGTCGACTTAAAGATCTCCTTCATGAAGTCCAGCGGACGGAAGTCCGACTCGAGCGAGTCCACGGCAGCCTCGAGGGTGAGCAGGAGCTCCGTCACGTAGCCCTGCATGTCCTCGCCCTGCTCGGCAACCGTCTCCACCAATCTCGACAGTATATCCGATAGCATTCGGGAAGTGATTGGAACTTTCAGGGCGCGAAAAACTTGCAGCGATCTGCCGGCGTAGTGTCGTGACGAGCAGGACAGGCCAAGCTGCAGGGCCGTCTGGGCCCATCGCTGACTGACCAGGGCGTGTGGCAGCGAGTCGCGGAAGACTCGCAACACGTGACGCAGCAGTGTGGTCAGTTGCTCGGCGCTGCGCACCCACCAGACTTTGGCGGTCATATCTTCGTAGTTCCACAGAGGTTGGCTCCTGCTTATAAAATTTACGACTCCGTAGTAGGGTGATCGATTTTACTAAAAATAAAATAATTGCTTACCTAGACGCGAGGAAATTTATCAAGGATTTTATAACGTCTTGGATCTGCATATTGGGTCCGGGCTTCGGACTGGTCCAGTTGGCTCCGTCTTCCGGTGTCACGATGACCGGCAGAGGTGCGGTTTTCGTTGTCGCAGTTCGTTGACTGCTCGTGTTGCTCCAATTTCCACTCTGATTTGCTGCGGCTACTTGAGTCAATGATTCGTTATTATAATTTTTAAAAAGATCTTGTACATGTTTCTTAGATTTTGAACATGTTTGAATGACTAAATCAAATAAAGATAATAGTAAAACTTACATTAATAAGGCTTATAGCTAAATATATTTAATAAAGAAAAATAAAAAAAAAGCATGAGTATATATTTTATTTGTTATATAGGTAAAAAAACGAAATAAACATATAAATGAACAGTAGTGTAAAGCCTTACTCAAGTCGGAGCGTTAAGACAAAATGTAGGTCAGTAAAAGTACAAGTCCCAAAAATTTCGGCCTCATGTTCTGCTATGGATCTCAACCAGGGGGCGTAGCTCAGATGGTAGAGCGCTCGCTTAGCATGCGAGAGGTACCGGGATCGATACCCGGCGCCTCCAAAATCTCATTTTGATTTTTTTTTTAACGCGACGGAAAAGCGTTATCTTGATCAAATATAAACAGCTGCATTATGAACTGATGCAATTTTGTTCGATTTTACACGAACGATATTTGTTTTAAAATTAAAGGAATACATGATTGAAATAATTTATCCGAATAATAAAGTAATTTATCTGATTATTAATTAACTTACCTACACAGAAAATGTTTGGAATTCGTGAACGAGTATCTCATTAATTGCATAGAAAACTTGAATAAAACTTTAAACTATGTTCTTTATGCTAAGATGAAAAGTCCCCATTCATCCCATTAAAAGTAATTTTTTCAAATTCTTAAGGGTTAACACTTACTCAGGGCCAAAACAGGCGAGGTCGTATTCTTGCCGTCATTACTCGAAACAGCCGGAGGTGTACTTTGAATCCGAGGTATATTATTGACGGGGGAGTGCGCCGGACTAGGATTATTCGACGAGGACGAGATCGAGCTCGACAGGGTCGGCGACGATGCTTCCGAGGTCGGAGGTACCAGCGCCGTAGAAGGCATGGGTGGAGGTAGAGGAGGTGGCGTCGGTGGCGAGCTCGCGAACGGCGACGATGGATGCGACGTGGGTGGAGGAGGCGACTGCGATCGAGTCGGCGAGTGGTGGCGATTCGCGGATGAAACGACCACGCTGCCACTGAATTAAAAAAATAAATGAAAAATAATGAAAGAAAAATCAAAGAGAAATATTTCAATAACCTACCTATTCGAAGCTTGCGTCAACGTCGACGACTGAGTGGAGGACGTCGTGGTCGTCGCGGACGTGGTAGGCCCGTAAAGATAACTGTCGAACTCGACATCGACCTCGGTGAAATTGTGCTCGTAAACGGGTAGCGGCGGCATGGTCAGGCCCAGTCCAAGCAGCTCCGTCTTGGTGGACAATAAAACTCGCGCCACCCCCAAGTGATCCCGATGATCTCCGAGGGTAATGAGCATATTCAAAAGCAGCAGTCGGCAATGGTCGCGCACCAGCGGTCTCGAGTGATCCAGGCCGAGGAAGACTATGTGCAGCATGAGCGGCACGTGTATGGCCCAGTCCAGCTGTATTCCATCCACGACGACGTCCGTCAGCAGCATCACGGCGATGTTGCACCTGTGAAAGCCGCTGATGGGCTGCGAGCTGTCGGGTAGGTACTCCGTGAGCGGGGCGAAGTAGCCGCCGTATTCCGGCATCGGCAGCGGATGCGGCTGCGGCAGCTCCATCAGCCCTGGCTTGTCGCAGCTGTTCGTCGTCGCGGACTTGTTGTTGTGGCCGGTGTTGTTGTTGAACGAAACGGGCACGTTGCGAATGTAGTAGGCGTCCTCGGTCGTCAGCTGAAAGTCGAGAAACTGTAAAAAAAAAAGAGACGGAACGCAAAAAACGATAAATGCAACAGGTGCGAGGGGACTCTCACAGGGTGAAATGTGACATGCTTATGGAATGTGCGCTGGAAAACAACGAGAGAAAAAATTTTGAAGCTATAATAGTTGATTAATAAATTCTAATTAACGAAAAAGTAACTTCGACAAATTTTTCTTCTCTCTCGGTGTACCGTGCATATAAAAAGCGTTTTAAAATAAATTATAATTAAATACAAAGTACATGACAATTAAGCAAAGGTAAAAATGCAGCAGGCCGTATTCAGACGCACTGCGAAAATTACCAATTTAAATATCGACGTTACGATGAATAAAACAAAAAAAAAGAAACAAAATTTTCCCCGAAACGGCAGTACGCGTCGATGTTTTTAAAACGTCGGAGAAAAAAAGGGAATTCGTCGGACAAATCAGTAATTGACATAAGCTTTAGTAATTCGTTATTACGTGATATCTAATATTCGTTGAATAGCGATTGGCATATACATGCAAAATGAATGCATTCATGTCAAAACCTTGCCAATGAAACTATACAAATAAACGAAACATGATACACATATAAAAGTGTTTCGTATTTTATTCATCATTGCGAGCTATTGCGCGTTGCCGTTGCGGATGAGGGTGGCATCTGGTAAAAATCGATAGTCGCCAGCCGGCAATAAGCTCTTTACCGCCGTTCGTTATCTCATTTTTACCTCGGACTCGGCGATGGGATTCGTTACTTCATCCGATAGCAGATTCGCTCCTCCGCCCACGTGGTTTCTGGCCTTGTTGCCCGAGTAACAGCCCGACAGCGATCTCAGCGGCTCCGACTTCGATCTGCGAAAAAAATCCAAATCACAACAAAAATCTAGCATTTCTCCTATAGCGAGCTATCTTATTTGCGTCAAGTGAAATACGAAGGTCTTACCCGCTCTTGATGGGATCTTCGCCGGAGTGGCGTTTCGTGTGTATCGTGCCCTTTTCCACGGTGAGATCCTTGGTGGGATTTCCCGAATCCGCGGCGGGGGCGTCGCTGTGCGACGAGGCCTTGCGCATACTCGTCAGCCGATAGAACGGCGGTGTCTCGGTGCGCTCGATCAGGCAGTTCAGGGTCTCGACGGTCTGCAGCTCGGACATCATCTCGTCGACGAGGCGATCGGGTCGGGCGCGAGCCAAGTACAAAACCACTCGTTTCGCCTGGCAAAGATTATTTATTTGTGATGTTTTTTTTTTATCACGTATGCAGCCCAAGTAAATTATGCTCCTAATACTTACGTAGGGCAGAAGCTCGGTGGGCGCCATACCTGACACGATAATAAGATAGCGTATGATGATTTTGAGATTGTTCGGCCAGCAGCCGCACAGCGTGGCCCACAGCTCCTCGGTCTCTTTTGGGTGCTCGTCGGAGAACTAGGACAAGCAGAGTTCGCGGAGAATTTGTTTCAAGTTAAAAAGTTTTCGAACCTTACAATAATTCTGTGGGCTCTTTCTTTTGTTGTAAAACCTACCTTTGCAGTTATGTAGAAGAGATTGTTGAGGACCATCTCGGTAGCTTCTACGCTTCCCCAGCCCTCTCGACGCGGGCCGCTGCGAATCATGTTAGACCCGTGCTGTAAAGAAGAAAGTCGCAAATAAATTCGATCGCAGAAGAACGAAAAAAGTAAAGGCATTATTTTTTCTCTCTCTCGCACGAGGGCATCATAATGGCAAAGTTATGTAATATGTAAAAGTTTAAAACGCCAGTATATAAAGTAGTACAAAAAAGTTCGTCAGTAAAATGAAAACATAATTAAAAGTAAAATCAGATTTGAAAAGTTTATAGTTTCTCAACTATCACTCGAAGGTGATATAAAAAATAATTATCATTCTCGCCTTCTCTATCCTCTGACTTACCTTTCGATTTTCGAGCAGATCCAAGGGCTGCTTTGCCAAGCGCAGCCGCAGTAAATTAAAACACAAGAAAAGCATAAGGGAGTTAATCATAAATTTCTTCACACACACACACACAACAAAAGGAAAGAAGGAAAAAAAGTGTACGGGGAGTTTTTGCTTGCTTTTGCTTATTACACTTTGCCACTGCCGCTGCTACCGTTATGCTATGTATATGTGTATACCAAGCACGTTAATCTGATTTATGTATAAACGTGTCCGTCGTGTCTTTTCCCCAAGCCTTTATTGACAATATTTCCGCAAAGGCAAAGTAAACCTCTGAGGAAAAGCGTCGCTCCACAATCCCATAATTTCAAAAGCTCCGCTCGCGTCACGCTTGTGTGTATGCGGGCACGCGGACACACAAACACAAACACACACACACACACACACGTGCGTGCAAAACTTGTGCGATCGATGAATAAAACGATAACACGAGAGTGTAAACTGCCCCCCCCCTGGGGTACAGTTGAAAAAAATGAGGAAAGAGAGAGGAATAAAAAGAGTCAAAAAAAAGGACAGGAAATTGAGGATAAAGCACGTCAAGCGCACCCACTTATGGGAAACGCGTTTACGATGATATAGGTAGATGTTGAACCGAAAGAGTAAAAGCGTAAAGATCCTCGCGAGATGTAGTAGCGGCCGAATTCAAAGTGAGAGAAAATTCAGTGGACCGAGAAATACTAATCACACGAGGTACATATCAAAGTAATTGATGGACGGGCTCCCAGTAGATATACGATTGGTTATTCGAATATTTATTACAACTACTTTAACAATTTTATTGACTCCCGATAATATTTAATTATCGTTATTGATAATGTTATATACCAATAACCCAGCGTTGGGTATTGTAAAATTTAAATATAATAATTAAAATAAGACCGTCAAATTAACACGTATGACGCCTGATCTCGCGGGTAAAGAGGCATGTGTGTAAGATGAACACAGAGACAGGCAAGCGCTGTCGCATGGATGTGTGTGTGAATGTAAGCGGCCAACACACATCGGCGCATTAGATCGAACCCGCGCGCATATGTGTATCAGCCGAACACAGAGCAAGGCAAAGGCTGAAGGTATGTACGGACGTGCGCGAGCAACATTACCGACGCATTAGATCAGGCCCCCGCACGCGTATATATATTCCGTGTGTGCGTGTACTCGCGTGTGTGTGTAAGTCGAACACAAAGAAGACATAACACACACATGCGAGACGAGACTAGTGGAATAATTTGAATTGGCACAAAGGGGAGAAGCAGGTTCGCACGCGCGCTCGCAAGTCCCATATCTCCCCCAAGTTTGACCTTTGACCTCAGATAACCATTGGGCACACGGGTCTAGCGGAAACCGAGTCAACAAGTGACGAAATAGCTGGGAGACTTGCGAATTGCGGGAAAAACCCGAGACGTACCCCCGCCAAAAGGTCCATGATTTAATTAGTATATAACATGCATAAAAATTAGGCCTCTAGGCAGATCATCCGAAAGAGTCGAGTAAGGCGAAGCTCTGTGCGCGCGAAATAATCAAATCAGTGTAACGGCGACTTGAAATATTTAACGGACTTGTAATACAACGCGAATTGCACATTCTATACTTCGTGAGAACCAAGCGCGAGTCAATAACAGCGACTAACTTGTACGCCGCGACCATCGAAATTGTTAATTGTATTCGCGAACGGTAAAGCTCGAGTGAGTGCTTCACCCCGCCTAGCAGCGCAACAGCCCAACAGCAGCCGCGACCGTCACTGCAGCAGCCAGCCGCAACACCACCGAGGCAGCCGCGACCGACGGCCAAGCAGCATCAGCGTAACGCTCCAGCAACAGCAACTACGGTAGCGCCCCGACGGCGTTTGCAGCCCTACATATCGACGAGCATCGGCCACACTTATTTTGTAAGCTTGTTCAATAGTTATTAGTTTTCTTGTAATAAAGTCTTGTGTGTAAATCTCACTTGAGCGTTATACACTTTATTTCATGATCCTTCCCCACTCAGACACAACAGAAAGTAATATTTAATATTCAAATAATAAAGTTATTACCCCGTATTAAAGGGTATATAACAATAATAAATCGTTTATCTACTGGTTTGGCTCTCTACTCTATGCATCGTAAACAAGATTCCCCAATTTAATTCTATACCACTCCGCGAAACTATTCCAATATACCGGAGCTACTACTTGAAGCACCAGCGCGCAGCGTCTATTGAGGATGTATAATTCATACACAACTTACACCTACACACCCACACACATACGCGCAATATTTACCTGGAAGTAACTCAAGGGATTTGAGCAGGGTGGCACGTTGGGATCGACGAGCTCCATGTTGTGCAGCCAAGGCAGTAAATATTGCAGCAATAGCTGGCGTACCTCTCGCCTGGCCGTTTGAAATCTATAGGTGACTTCTGCAAATAACATCGTTATAAAAGCGCTGGGTGATAAATCATAGACGTTGTCTGTCTCTCTCTCTCTCTCTTTCTTTATTCTCGCGCGTGGCGGGTAAACAATGTATCGCACGAAAGAGCCATAATAATTACGTCAAAAATAAACAATGTATTTAACAGAAGGAAAGGAAGAAATGTTGTTACAGTGCAGTCATTCGAAGTAATTTTTTTCTTTTCTCGCGCAAAACGGGTGTAACGTTTTTAAATATAAGTACTCCGCGTGTCCGACAGCTTGCAAAAACATCTATAGGAGCTGCTGCTGCTACTGCATGGAGGCGTTAAATGCCTCGTTGACTCAAGAAACACCTAATAATAGCCGAAAGAGATAGAGTAAACACGTGTGCTCGAACGCGAATGTAGCTAGTGCTCCGAGAGAGAGAGAGAGAGACAAGATGGAATATTTAGGTTGCGTTTATTATGACGATGACGTTTCTGCACGCGCGGCAACGGAACGATCATGATCGTTTATATACACAGACGCGGACACATACACAAGTAAGCGATGTTATAAAGTAGAAAAAACACGAGTGAGGCTTCGGGTAGGATTGTTTATATATCGATCGGATAAGAGAAGACAAAGAAAAAAAAAAAAAAAAAAGAAACAGGTATATAGAAAACACTTAAGTTCTTACCGCTGAACATGGGCATCGTTAACTCGGGGTGTAATTGCGCCAGCTGTCGCGATAAGTACTTCTGGCTGCGGCAATAGGTCGCCGATAGCAGAGCGTCGAGGGTGGTTACGTCTTTTGCCTGCTGCTGCTGCTGTTGATATTGCGCTTGATGATGATATTGCTGCTGTGGCTGACCATTGTTGGACTGTACTACTGTCGTCGAGGTAGTCAGGAAAGTCATGGAATGGTTCGGCGTCGACGTTGCCTGCGCGGCGATGGTAGTCGTGGAATGGCTCGTCGTCGCCGTTGCGGATGCACTCGCAGTGCTAGATGCATTCTGCTGCTGCTCCTCTTGAGTAGTTCCTGTTGCGGACAGTCGAGAGGAAACTTGATGAAAAAATTACGATTCATATATCATTATTTGTCGCGCAATATACACGAAATAGCTCTGAAATATAAACGTCAGGACAGCTGCAGCGAGATAATATATAGCTTCCCGTCGAAGTTAACGATTGCCGCTCATCTTAGAGAGTAAATATTTACCTTGCAGTGGACTTTTTTACGTGACGAATGGATACAATAGGACAAGGTAACGGTATTAAAAGCTTTCAAGCTCGCTGCAAGCTCTATCTGTACATTGTATAGACAGAGCTACGCGAGAATCGATCAGAAACAAGTAAAAAGTTTCCGCGCTTACTTAAACTCTTTGCGGCAAGAATAAAATCACGAGGAGAGTAAGCTCTTCGCCTCGGCGCTGACACAAGTGGGCGAGTAAACAAAAGAGGAGGCCGGCCTTCTTTGAGCCGGCTGCGATAATAATTCGACGCGGTGCAAAAATCTCAGCAGACCCGCGGATACAGGAAGGAAAGTGCCCCCCCCCCCCTACTTTTCTTTCTCTCTCTATTATGACGATGGCGAAATACTTACAACAACAACATAATTATATATAGCCTAATAATGCGATATGCGCGTGGCACGTTCAAATAATAATAAAAATAAAAATAATAATGATATGAGAGCTGCGGCTTTGCCGCTGCTATTAGATGATTCATGCACCACTACTCGTATGAAGATAAGCTTTAATCGACAAAGAGAATAATTCGTCCATAATATGTGTGCGCTGCTGTATATGTATGTGTGTGTGTGAGTGCGTACGTCCGAGGCAAAATCTTGAAAATGTTACGGTGGATTGTATAAATTTTAATTGCATTTATTGTCTTTTGTAGTATTAATGAGGACAGAAAATGTTTTTGGGCAGGACACGGGGAAAAAAATTTTTTTTTTGATTTTTTGAATAGTATATTTCTCAACGGGTGCACATATGGTTTTTTAGCAAAACGAGGGATTATAGCACGAGCCGAAGGCGAGTGCTGTAACGAGTTTTGTTAAAAAACCATATCTGCACCAGTTTGAGATACTATTTTTTCCTACGAGAGCCTAAAATTAGCGGCAAAGTTGCGTATTTTAGGTTAGAGTGGGGAAAAATTTTTTTGTACATTTGAAAAAAAAGTTTATTTTCATTTTTTCTCGTATAAATGCCGGAATTTTCAATATTTATTTTTTGTCATCAAAAAAGCAGAGAGGTCAGCTTTACAACTTTTCAGCAAAATGAAAAGTTGTACTTTTGCTTCCTCATAAAGGAAGCTTTGTGATAAGCTCAAAAACGAGATTTTGAACCAGACCGCATAGGACAATTTGGTTTACATATTTGAGGGTTTATATTTCAAACATGTCGTTGAATCAAAATTCATTTACAAAGCTATGTACATATAAGTGAAAAAAAAATTGAAAAATGAAAATAATTATTTCTCTACAGTTAAATCACCGTATCTTTGCGAGGAATGCACGTAGGACCATTTAAGATAAACGAATTTAAAGGTCTTGTCAAAACCTGCAAATTGATGGGCTCAGAATGTTTCTTCATTACCTTCTACTAATGTGAAGAGTGAAATAGCAACTACAACAAAAACTGAATTTTTCGATTTTTTATTTGTTGAAATAAATTGGTAGATTAGTGATTGGACCCTATCATAATTTATACAGCTGTAAAGCGATTTTAAAGGCCTTTCAAGTGGCATTTTTAAAATCCTGATACGACCTTTATTGACTGAGCTATGACACTTAGAAGTTTACTAATTTTTTGCTTAGATAAAGCAAAAGTGATTAAACGGCAGTGTATATGCGTGAAGCTCTCTCTAAAAGGCAAAGCTCGCGGTGCATCTATAGTATGCCAATATGAGTCTCTCTATCTCTCTACTACATGTCAGTAGTAGTAGCCAGCACACACACAGGCAGAAAGCTTTTCTATAAAGCTCGACTCTCTATCTTCTCTTCCAGCGCGCGCGTACTCGTACGCGGCGCTGACTACGCCACCGCCACCGCTGTCACGAGCTTTTCCACATAAACATTTTAACTCCCTTCTTCAGTCGGTTGTTGATGCTGTTACTACTCGTATCGTAGAACGCGGCGAGCGCGAGAGAGCCACGATTTTTCGAAGCGAGCAGGCGCTACACGTGCAAGTTCCAGCGAGAGCTTTTTTGAATATACGTGAAAGCTCAGCGTTGCGTGCGTGATTTAGGTGACAAAGACGCGTGAATTATTGTATGCACAGTTTAGTAGTAACGGGGGCTAGATGAACAATGAGCGAATTGACACTGTATACGATATCGCTTAATTGGAAAAAGTGACCGAGTGTGTAAACAATATACCAGTGCTTCCTATACGTCGTTGTTGATATAAGTTATTTTTTACGCAGTGACACGCGAGTGCATCTTGACACTAATGGTGTATGATATAGTGCCAGTACTGTGCGTTACTTCGAGTGATTAAACTCGAGATCCGATTTACTATTTCAATACCGAAGCGTGGTGTATTATAGAGGATCAATACAAATAACACAACGAGGAGCTGATGATTAGCCGTAATTAGACGTTCATCGTTGGGATCGTTAATGCAGCCGTGTGTGTGTACGCAACGACGACTATATGTACTACGTCACGGACAGGATGAAAGCTACATTATTGTTGCGCACGAGTGATGAATTGCAGCAGTAGTAGTAGTGGTAATAGTGGTAGCGCGTAACGAGCGAGCCAACATGTGAAATTCAAAGAGAGAGAGAGAGAGAGAGAGAGAGAGAGACCATCTACGGCAGCAGCACAACAATAAGGCCGAGAAATCCACTTTTATTGAAAACGACGACACAATGACGATGACGGACGACGATGGCTTGAGCAACAACATTACCGTTCAGGCTCGAAACTTGCTCGCCTGGACGATCGTCACGGGCTTCGAGACCTACTACCTGCCGATCCTCGTGTTCGTCGGCTCGCTCGGCAACTGTCTCTCGGTCTTCGTCGTCTCGGCGAGCACCAAGATGCGACGCAGCTCGTCCAACTACTATCTCGCGGCCCTGGCCGTCAGCGACACCGGTTTTCTGTTCGCCCTGCTGCTCGCTTGGTTCGGCATAGTCAACGTGCCGCTCGTCACGCGTCGTGGCATCTGTCAACTCTTCATCTATCTCACCAACGTCTGCAGCTTTCTCAGCGCATGGTAAGCAGACAGAGAAAGACTCGACACGAAGAGCTCAGCTGCGCTCTTTTGTTTGTCTTGCTAATGCGATTCTCGACTTAACGCAGAACGTCGCGGAGCGAGTTATTTTCACTGCCCCGACACGCGGGTCGGGTATGTAGATACGAGTGTACGCTAGACTGGTCCTCGTGTATTTACCAAAAAGTGTTTGGATCCTCTCGCTCGCTTCTCGCAAGCTGCTACTAAAAATTAAGAATTACGCGATAACACGCGCGAAAAATGTTTCGAACACGACGCGTCGTGACTAAAAAACAGATTCAAAGATTTAGAACGTAGTTTTTTTTCGTAGGCTTATACGTTTCTCAGGAAATTCTTTCATCGTCACGTTTTTTTAAGTTTTGCCATTTTTTAACGTGAAAAAGAAATAACTTTTGCGAAAAAATTTACTATTTTAAAAAGAGTAAATAACGCAGATTACTCTTTTGAGGTTCGAAAGTTACTCTTTTGGTTTTAGAGTGTATATCATTACAGGTATTGATTGTACATAATTAGTTTTAAGTTTGAAAAAGGGAAAAATAATTATAATTTCTTACATTATTACAGAATACCATTAATAGTTTCTATCATTAAAACCCTTGAAGTTCCTCACACTATTATATATATTTTTTGTATTTTCTGGCAAAACATGTTTATGTTCACATGTAGTAATGTTCATTTGGACATGCCTATATGATGTACACGACTTTAAAACATCATAGGTTACGGCTGCTATTTCTGCTGGGGTGGTGCTCTAACCCATAAGTTTTTGTGCACCATCAGTTAATCCATTGCCGCTTGAAATGATGTTTTATGAGACCATTCATAGTAAATTGTTTCATTCAACTCAAAAGTTGAGTTGATATTTTTTGATGTAAAATTCAATGTTTTAAAAAAATTTGATGTCAAAATGACGGAAGAGTTGATGAATAAAAGATGTAAAAAATTATTTGTTGATCCATGTTTCCGAATAGAAAAAGAATTGAATCATAAGTCTGTGGGACGCATGCATTAAAGTCTGGTAGTCGTATTATGGAAATTTAAGTTGACGGTAATTAAAATTTCGACAGACAGTAAAAAAACACTATTCCGTAACTTACATGATATGCATGATTTATTTCAAAAATTTTCAAGTGAATTTATTTGGATAATAGAGAAAATGTCCAAATTTCAGATCTATTAATGACCCGGAAAAATTCGGAGTAAATTCATCCTTAGTTTTTCATTAAATCCTACGCAATTTCTTATGGTTGACAATTTTTTAATCAAATGCTTCATTTTCAAATTGAAAAATCGCAAATTTATCAAATAAGTTAAATTTTCGAAAATTCAATATCGAGTTAAAAGTATTTATGAACCCCGCATGATATAATAGGATTAAGTTACAGTGAAGAACGAGTTCCATAAAATTATTTTTTAAGAGTATTCACCGTTAAAAATGAGCTAATTAGTCGGCAGATTTTAGTTAATATATTCGCTGCTCTCTCGTCTATACATTTTTGCATTTTTATTGCAGAGAGAAGCGATCGCGGGACTTTGGCTCGCCTGCGAATCAAGGAGAATATTAGTTGCTGGCTCGATTTCGTGCGGTTTGCGGTACGCTACGGCTCAAATATTAATGAAAATTTCTCGATAATATCGATCGAGATATATTCGTCGAATCGGAATAATACTCGGGAAGCAACAAATGGACTTTTGACAGTACTTTGTGCACCCGGCATGAATATGCTTTTGTTGTAAAGCGACGGCGAGTTACACAGCCGAAGGTGATTGCTGTCTCTCGAGTTTCGCTGAAAAAACACATTTGCGCGCAAGTTGCATATAGAGTTCAATCGAATTAGCGAGATTCAATGCAACAGACAGCCAGCGTAATCTCGCTGCTAAGCAAGTCTCTACATGAAATTTAAGGACGTTCCCTCAAAAAAATGACTATCGATAAAGGGTCTTGAAATTTTAACCACATATTATTGACAATACTTTTCATAAGTGTGAGAAATTTCAGGAACTTTAACCAAACCATTTCCGAGATATAATTAATCAAAGTTCGGTACTTTAACATGGGATCCCTATGCTAGCGTGTCGAAAAGACGCTATTTTGTGTGATTATAAAAAAACGCATCGATAAAATCTTTTCAAAAACTAGGAAATAATTTTTCAGTATGTACTAAAACATATCTCAAAAACTGGAAAAACTTGACCAAATAGTTTTTGAGAAAAGTTAATGTAAAAACATTGCAAAAATAAAAATTCAAACTTTTTGACCTGAAACCCATTTTGTAAGGTTTTTAGGGTCATTTTAAACAAAAAAGTTCTCTTGCAAATTTTCTCTAAAATCTATCGTTCACGAGCTATAAACGATTCAAATTTAAACAATTTCAAGCAATGAATCTTTGCGATTTTTTATCTCAATAAGTATCAACTCTACAAAAAATTGTAAAAGAACAAAAAAGTCTTAGAATTTGTTGAGGAAAGCGTATGAATTTTTTCAGATTTTTCTAGACATATGCCCAAATTTGTCGGTCAGGTCTGAGGGAACTACCTTAATCAAATTTATATCCGCCATTTATATTTGTCTTGAGCACTTCAAAGTTCTGAGTAAAAGCATTTACTTCATTCTGTAGATTAAGTTTATACTAAAGCTTCTTAAGTAGAAATACTTTGAACAAAAGTTTTGCCGAATCGAAATATCTTCAATTCGAATCAATTATTTCAAAAGGGAATATGAGATTACACGAAGGCAGAAACGCCATTTAGAAAATGGAAATGTACATTTGAGTCTTTCGAGAGAGTATATGACCATTGACTACCCACAGAAAGCTCAACATTTGGGGAAAGGTTCTTCTTTTGATGTATACATTAAAAGTACGAAATTTCATTCATATTAATTATAAGCCAGTTGACGTGATTCAGCCCATATACGATACCCGAGAAACTAAAGGGGAAAGGCTCGAAAAGTGCATTTTTTAATCCGATGTGAATCTTTCGGTAGCAAGCCCAAAATAAATTAATGAAATTAATAAATTCTATCGGTTTTGCGGCAAAATAATTTGAGTTGGATTAAAAATTTCATTAAAAAACGATTTACTTAAAGCTAGGGGCGATTAAAAGAAAATCTCATTTTCAGTTCTTTGATGATTGAATTTGGTGTAATTTTTTTACGTCTAACTGCCATAAAATTAAAATTCCCAGGTTCGTCGTGGCCTTCACGGTGGAGCGTTTCGTCGCGGTGCGCTACCCTCTCCACCGCCAATGGATCTGCACGTACAGCCGCGCCAAGTACATCATCGGCAGCGTGACGGTCGCGGGCCTGGTGCTCTGCAGCCCGGTGCTGCTCTTCGCGGAGGTCCGAGTCCACGAGGCCGTCTCCGTCTGCAGCATCACCCCCGGTTGGGAGAGGCTCGCCACCGTCCTCAACTTCGTCGACACGATTCTCACCTTCGTCCTGCCGTTCTCCGTGATCGTGGTGCTCAACACGCTGATCGTGCGAGGGGTTTACGAGGTCGACCGGGCTCGGATGCTGCTCGAGGCGAGGCTGTCGACGCGCGAATCGCCGCTGGCGCTGCAGCAGTCGAGGATCACCAAGATGCTGCTCATAGTTTCGAGCGTGTTCTTCTGCCTCAATCTGCCGTCCTACGTGATGCGACTCTACGCATACGTGCACGTGAGTTTATTGCTTTTTAGTTTAATTCGACTTCCGTGTATACACATTTTTCTTCATTACTAGATAACGTCGACATTTTAGCTATTCTATATACTATATAACGATAATAAAGCCGATACTTTTTACGATACGTTTTATTATCCTAAAAAGCTCTCTTGTTTCGTTTTTCTATAATAAATATTGCGCGCATTTCTCGTTTTTTTTGCAGCCTGAAAATACGGTAACCGACATGGAGGTATTAATTCAACGATGCTGTAATTTGCTGTTCGACACGAATTTCGGCATAAGTTTCGGACTGTACTGCGCGAGCGGGCAAAACTTTCGCTCGGCGGCGGTGGAGCTGCTGAGTTGCTACAAGAACCCCGTCGGCACTACCGCCGATCAGTCGAGACAAGCCTCGACTAATCAAGTCAATACGTTCGGTTAGTTTTAGATACGATCAATTATCGCAAATTGTCTCTCTAGATGCTTTTGACATTTCTCGTGTTATTGAATTATCCTAGGTATGGACAACACGCGCCCGAGCGAGTCGACGACGGCCAACGCGTCGAGGGAACAGTCCATCGGCTCGCAACCTTGCCGCCACTTCCGGGACTCGTGCCATTTGAAATCGAGTGCAACTCCGCTGGATGAGAAACACGAATTGGATAATGACAAGTACGCCAGCAGTTGGGCTTGAAAAAGTGCAGAGAAAAAAAATTGTGTTACGTGTATATAAATGATAATAAGCCTACGAATTCCATTGAAGAATCATCACTTCCTCCCCTCCTACTTGCGTATTAGTGTTAAGTGTTTGCATTAATTTATTATGAATTCCATCGATGTACGGTTAAATTAAATGTACAGTTGTTTAAGAATTATTATGATATATCTAACGATTTTGTGCTGTGAAACAAAATAAAATCTTTATCGATGTCGATACAAAATATCTTCGATTTTTTTTTCTCTCTATTACTCCTTCTTGAGAAGGGTCTGCAGGGGGCTAGAGCCCATGCACAGGAAGAGATTACTACTACACCCCCCCCCCCCCCCCCC